CGTATATTTTGTATATACGTTGTATTATTAATTACGTATTATTTGTATAATTTGTTATATTATTTCTACTATTGCGTATTACCTGCCGTATTATACAACTGGTATGTTTTCTTGTGTGGATATTATCACATAATTATTTGATTTAAATTTAAGTAAAAAATAATTTTATTATTAATACAACCTCCACCGGAGTCCCCAAATACAATCCCTCACTTGTTCCTTCAAACAACGATGGGTTCACACAAACACACTAAGTTTGGGGTGAACCCATCGTCATTTGACCCTCCGTCGACGCGATGTGAAAAGTTTCTACTATTTGAAACCTGTTAAATTGATACGAGTGGTGATGAAGGGTCAAACGACGACGAGTTCACCCTCAAACTTGGTGTGTTGGGGTTTTAGAATATGTAGATCAAGTTTAACGGAATGGATCATCCACAATATAGCTCAATCATGTGTGATATTAGGCCATGTTTTTAGATGATTATTTAAAGTGTCACCTTAGGAACACTTCCCTCTCTCTCTCTCTCTCTCTCTCTCTCTCTCTCTCTATATATATTATATTATATTATATAATATATACTACTATATATTATTATATATATATATTATATATATATATATATATATATATATATATATATAATATATATATTATATATATATATATATAAAAATGGAGTGTGCCGCTGGCTAGTGTATCGCTTTTCTGTGCGCAAGTGGCTTATTTGAAAAAAATCCACATTTCAACCCCCTTCAATTCCACGTGACCCAACTATTCTCAATCCCTCTCCTCTCTCCACGATTTTAGCCACAAATTCGCCTGATGCGCCCTCCGTCGTACCGCCGCAATCTCCCAACCTCACCCTCTCCCCTTCCTCCTCCTCCTTCCCCAACCTCAGCCCAACTTCCGCATGACAACCGCCATGAGATCTCGCCCATCGAGCCCCTTCCTCCTCAGTTGAGGACAACTCTGTGCCATCCGTAGACACCGCCATGACACCGCCGGCTGATCTGTGCCACCGCTCCGTCGACCATCTTGAGATCTCCCTAAACCTCACCCTCTCCCCTCCCCCTCCCCTCCACCAACCCCAGCCCCAACTCTGCATCGACAACTGCCGCCGCGATCTCGTTGTCAAGCCCCTAGCAAAAAAAGCTAGTCCTATTGGATGGTGATGTTGCGATACATATCCAATAACATACAAAAACTAGATTTATAGCAACAAGGTGGCTGCTTGTTTGAAAATTAGTGCTATGAGCACACAAAACTACTTGGACAATCTTGCACTAATTTGGTAAATATATTCTTATAGCATGGAACATCATAGCACTAATTTGGTGAATATATTTGTCATGAAATTTGCAGCTAGGCCAAGTTGTGGTGAAGAAGAAGAGCAATCTTGGAAGAAGAAGAGGAAACATAGAGTAATGATGAAGATATATCGTTACAAATTAAAATGTTTATATTATGAATGTGTCGCCTATTTGTAAACATGTTTATGAAATTAATTCGTTATATGGTTAGCTTTTAAATGGCAGATTCTGATTCTTATAGTGCTGCAAATCTTGGGCCTTATCTTTAGGATGATATTCTGTTTTTGAACGTGTTGGATAACAGTGTTTGAGTAATGGCCATGTTTGAATTATGATCCATGTGAGAGGTCGACATCTATGCTTGGACGTAGAGTAAGACTCATGAATGGAATTCAGTCTTGTTGACTGTGTTTTGGAGTTTCACATATGCCTTGCTGTTGATTTTTGAATTTGATTATTATGTTACTAAACTAGGCATTTATTTAGATTAGCAACGAGGTCATCAACTGTATGTGTTTGGTGTAGCAGAGAGTTCAGCCTTGAAGGTATTGAACCTGAACCACATCAATGCTATGTAGCTAGTTACTCGAAGATGGTATACCCAGTGAGCCTGTTCTCCTGAGTTTTGTAACATTGAGGTTTCTTGTACTTGATGGGGTCTCTGAAAAGAAATGGAGTCATGTTAGCTCTATCTCATGTTAGTTCTATTAGACTATCTCCATCAGGAGTCGAAATTTTAACATTCTCTCTCCTGCCACATCACTTTATTCCCCCTCCACATAATTCAACAATCTCCATTTTCTATCATCTCTACAGCAGGAGTTTTTTCAAAAGATTTTTACTTTATTTGGGACCCACTATAACCCCATCACTCCAACATATATACCCCACCTTATTTATTCATTTCTTTTTCTTATTTCATATATATTACTACTACTACTATTATTATTACTAATATAACTCATTTATTTATAATTATAATTTTTTAATATTTACATAAATAATATATATTATTAATTTAATTTTTGATAATATTTTTATATTAACAAAAAACACACGATTTTATTAAGCATACGGAAAAGTCAAACACACACAAATTATTGAAAACATTAAAGAAAATTTTGTGAAGGATCCATACGAAAAAGTTTGAAGAATATAGAAGCAAAAGCAAAGAGAAGGAGAATAAGGTGTTGAAAACTCAGATTTTTTTTTTCTCCAAATTACACAAGACTAATCTCTATTTATAAAGGTGAAAAAATAAAAATTATTGATATAAAAATTATAAATTAATTTCTAGTATTTATCTCCCAAAATATCATTTAAAAGTTAGGAGTAAAACAAAAAAACCCAACCAATCAAGCCTTGACACATGGCTTGATGCAATTGTTGATCTACTGTTGCGGGACCCACACGGAGAGAAAAACCGGAGGTGAAAATTTCACCCCTTGGGCTCCGGTTTTCCATTTCACCACATTAAAAGCCACCCGCTGGAGCACCCCCCCTCCCCAAATATCTCCTGGATAGTCTTAGGAGTCATGTTAGGTCTACTTGACGTCATGCTAGGTCTAATTTCTTGTACTTGAACCATTACTGAAAGCCGCTATTTCATGCCTTTAAAAATCATCCACCAAATCAAAATAGTAACAAAAAATAACAGCCAGCCGCTATTTCATGCCTATAAAAAGCATCCACCAAATCAAAATAGTAACAAAAAGAACAACCATAGCCGACCACCATTAGCAACAATTAGACTTGATTTAATAGTCAATAAAAATAACCAAGATGACAAGAAACGAATTTGCCAATTACATCTTCAATCAGACAAGGTGACAATATATATTACATTAATTTTCCTTGATCAACAAGCACAAGAGATGCAAGATCCAGAACTATACACTAGGAGGCTGCAAATTTACTTCCAATAGCACTTGATTCTCCCATTCCGAACTTTACACTAGTTGAATTTGTTTCCTCCATTCCGAATTCCTAAAGAAGAAAACAAATTCAAGAAAAACAGATGACCAATGATATAGCAGACACCACAATTGGAAACCATCAAGCAATAACGACGATCATGTTGAGATGAAAAGTGTGATAATCGTCTCACCACTATGTGAAGCAGAAATGTTTTAGTCAATGCAGTAGGACAAAGGTACGTATGATATCAAAAATAACGGGGAATAGTTGACTAAGGTACTGATACCTTACTAAATCCCCAAGCGGAATAGAAGAGGCAAAAATCTGCATATTTACCAGTTTCAAGAGAGATTACATGGCTAGTGAGATACATTACACAAGTCTAACTGGAATTACAACAGAAACATGCATTGGAAGTGTCATTGTCTGAGCAAAGTGATTTTGGTTCCTCAATTCCCTGACCAAAGTCTAGCAATTAATATTACACTAATAAAGTTCTGATATTTTGACTAATGAGAAATCACTAAAGATTTTCATAAGAGGAGCCTTAATATTTTACAAAATGTGACAATTCTTTACTTACCCATAATATAGAGATTTATAGAAGCAAAATGGAAGTAAGCCACCAGTCAAATAGAGTCTTAATTTTTTACATGAATATGGATTTAATATTTTCTTAAATTTACGGTTTGTTATTTTTGCAACTATTTTTTAATTACTCTTCACCATTAGCTGACATCTGAGATGAGGTGAATTCATAGCAAGCTCCATGGTATAAAGATGTCAAGTTGCTTCAGTTTTAGGAAATTTCTAACAGAAGATGGAGAAAGAAACAACATACTCATGTATAGATTCAACTAAAACAATGTTAAAATTACGACTCACGGGGGAGGAAGGGGCTCGACAGCGCGATCAAAAGCTCTACGACGAGATCACGATGAGACGGTTGTCGTAGGACAGAGTTGGGGCTGGGGTGGGGGAGGGGAGGGGGGGGAGAGAGTGGTGAGCGGTTTGGGGGGATCTTACGGCGGTCGACGGAGCCGGCCACGACCGGCGCGGGCAGTGTCGTGGACGGTGTACTACTGGATGGTGCCCTGGAGTATGTTCTCGCGGAGGAGAGAACGGGTCGACGACGATGATCTCACGGCGGCGTTTGTGTGGCCGGTATGTTAAGGCTAGCGCGTTAGGCGGAAGGGATGCGAGGAGGGATGAGGGTGAGGTTTGGGTAGATTTCACGGCCGCGTCGACGGAGGCGCGCACGACGGCATTATGTGGCTAAATCATGGGGAAAGGGGGAGAGGCGATTGACGAATTTTTGGTGGTCACATTGGGAATGTGAACGGGGGTTGCGAATAGTGCGGATTTTATTTTTCCAAATAAGCCCATGCGTCCGAAAGGGGTGGTAATCTGTGGGCGGCTGAAATCGTTGGGATTTTTTTACAAATAAGCCATTCGCTCGAAACGCAATACACTAAGCCACACTTCAGTTTCTCATATATATATTATTATATATATATATATATATATATATATATATATATATATATATATACTATATATATATATAATAATACAACAAATTACGATGGCGCTTTCAAAAATTTTTTTTACCGAATTTAGCTACGTGATCAATTTTATTCATTTTTCGCGCAAAAAAAAAGAAGAAAAAAAAAGAAAGAAAGAAATAGAATAAACAAAGAGAAAACGTAATGACCTATATTTATTTCCTTTTATTTTTCTATTTTCAGCTCTATTTTTGTAATCTCATTTTCTTTTTCGACGCGAAAGAAGGAATAACGCTGAGCTCTGCGATTCCCTCCTCGAAACCCTAACCCTATCTCCTTCTATACGATCATCTACAGGTTTTTTTTATCATTAGATTATTTTTCATTGCTGGTTCGATTATTTTCGCTCTGTTTTATTGTAAAGTTCTCGTCTTTCCATTTCGTTGTCTGCTTGCAGATTCAATTTGAGATCTTGTGGTCGAGAGAATTGATCGAAAGAAGGCTTCGATTCGTTGTTTCCGCAGGTTTGTCTACATTTTACCCTGTTGTTAGAGGATGCTTCTTTGATTCTTGAACTCTGGCTTGCTTTTGTTTTGATCAGCCAAAAAATGAATTGGGTATATTTATGATTTAATTTATTCTATAGTTGTTTGGTAACAATATACAATGGGAATGATTTTCGAAAAATAATTTAAATCCCATTATTTCGTAAGCATTGGAATAAAAAAGAGTACTTTTTTACTCTGTTTTTCCTAAATTTATTAGCCTTTTTAAAGTCTTGTTAGATAGCGATGTTATTGTGCACGCATGCATTTGTGGAAATTACTCAAATGAGAAAGAATATTTGTTAAATTTATGGGTTTATTGTCTATAAATTCTTTCCCAAAGAGATGAATAGAATTTATTCCATTTTGAATCACTAGGAAATTATTCTTTCGTAGAAGAAGATTAAGGAACAATTTTCAGCACGGGACATATTCTCTGATTCTAGTGCTGAAATGAAATATGTACTGCTTGACATCTCTTTGCTATATAATTCTTTTTTTTTTCTTTCTCATTTTTGCAGCCTCCATAATTTTGTATCAGAAGTTATCTGGCAGCCAAGGCTTTAAATTTTTCGGCAGTCAAGGATAAGGAAAGGAGAAGAGGATGTTGAGAGAAGGGGTGGACGAAGAGGCGCCCGCCTTGTTGTCAAACAACCGGTTGAAACTCCTCTGCAGCTCCGGTGGCAAAATCCTCCCTCGCCCTTCCGATGGCCAGCTCAAGTATGTCGGCGGTGAGACACGTGTCGTCTCCGCCCCAAGATCTGTAACCTTCAAAGGTGATGTTTCTAGCTATGTTATCGAATTTTATAATGGATAATTTACAAAATAGGATGGTGTACTTTCATCAATCTTTCTAAAATGCGTAAATTTTTATCCCTTTGAACTACTACTGTAAAATTAAAGTTTTTTTATTGTTCAATGGTAGTTTTCGGAAGATTAGAGAATATAAGGAAAGTCCAATAGGTAGTCGAGATGTTAATTTAATTATATGTTTATGCTGAAGAAGAATGGGGTGTTTAATGAATAATTGTGGTAGTTTTCTGGAATATATGTCGCATTTTTGTGGAAAAATGGTCATGGTTAATGAAAATGTTTTAAAATTTATTCATGCACTTTCGATTCTTTTTGGATCATGTCATTGAAAATTTAAAAACGATAAGTTAGAATCCATCATGACTTTGTATATCTTTGCAGAAAAATACTATGAACTTTATTTATTACAAACTGTTAGCATAAAATATATGGTTTATAACTGTTTAGATGGTTGTTTTTACAAATTTTGAGAAGAGAAACGAAAGTGCAATTAGTAGTTCAGGAGTTAAGTTGTTTACATGTTTATTGGTTATCATGAAAAGAATAAAATTTTAGAGTTACAAGTAAATTATGTTTCTGAAAAATTAGTGAAGTTGGATGACAGTTTCTTGAAATTTATTCCTAGATCCCGCACTTTCAGAGCTGATGTTTCTATCTATCTTATTGAAATTTAAAATCTGTAAACATTAACATACTATCATGAATTTTTTATGGAAATTTACTGCCGTTAAATTTGAAGTAGTGATAGATTGGTTGTGCTGTTGCAGTTTTCTGCAAATTTAGGGAATATAAGGAAAGTGCTAGTTGAGTGTTTCATTTACTTATATTTTTATGATAAAGAAGCAAAGTGTTTAATAACATTTATGGTAGTTTTGTATATTGTTTATGATAGTTTTCTGAAATAATAATGACGGTTCATGATAATTTTTTGAAATTTATTCCAGTAACTATAATTTTTCTCTGAAAGCCATGGCTTTCAATTCTTTTTTAAGAGCTGTTCTATTGGAATTTAGAACTGATAAATTAAAAAACTATCATGCTTGTGTTTCTTTTCAGAAAAATACTGTTAACTTTATTGATTAGAAACTGTCAGGCGCCTACCACACCGAAAGTCCAGCCGTCCACATGCTCCATTATCCAGCAGCCAATGTTGAAAAGGAAAAGAAAACAAAATGGTGGGGCCCACTGCTACAGTAAAATATTAATATTTTATTATGCATAGTGTTTTTCTAAAAATTATAAATAGGCTCCAAATCCTTAAGGAAATCTCATCCCAGAAACTTCTTCTTATATAGAAGTGTGTGAGAGAAAAAATAGAGAGAGTATCTCCTTAGAAAGAGAGATTGTAACTCCAGAGTTTTCTCCTCATAGTGAATTCTTCTATCCTTGCCCGTGGACGTAGGCAATCAAGTGCCGAACCACGTAAATCTGTGTGTCCAACATTTTATCTCTACTTTTGCTTTTCTTTTGCTGCGATCCTGCTCTATTGGGCCCCGGGTTTGTCCCAACAAGTGGTATCAGAGCCAACTTAGGGTACTTGTATATATCTACTTATCGTATGCTCTGTGGCTGCCACCAAAGGTGGATCCTCCACATCAGAAAATAAGTTAGGTTATCATTTACCCTTTGGAGGTGACGGGTACTATTCACGAGTACGGTACTGTTCACAAATACGGTATTATTCACAAGTACGATACTATTCACGGATACGGTTACTGTTCATAAATACAATACTATTTACGTGAAATAGTAAGAAGTTACTGTTCGTGGTAGAAGCAATGGCGGCGAAGTTCAAGATCGAGAAATTCGACGGGAGTAATTTCTCATTGTGGAAGTTAAAGATAAAGGCTATCTTGAGAAAAGATAATTGCCTGGCGGCCATCGGTGCAAGGCCGGACGACATCACAGATGATAAGAAGTGGAACGAGATGGACGAAAATGCTATTGCAAATCTCCATCTGGCATTAGCAGACGGGGTGCTGTCAAGCATAGAGGAGAAGAAGACAGCAAAGGAGATCTGGGATACTCTAACAAAGCTATATGAGGCGAAATCCATGCACAATAAAATCTTCTTAAAAAGGAGACTTTACACTTTGAGGATGGCGGAATCTACATCGATGACCGACCACATCAACACCCTAAACACACTGTTCTCCCAACTCACAACGTTGGGATATACAGTTGGTGCGAATGAACGTGCAGAACTTCTACTTCAGAGTCTACCTGACTCGTATGATCAACTCATCATCAACCTGACGAACAACGTCCTCACGGACAATCTAGTCTTCGACGATGTTCCAGCCGCTGTTCTGGAGGAAGAAAATCGGCGCAAGAACAAGGAAGACAGGCAGACAAGTTCGCAGCAAGCGGAGGCCTTGTCGGTGACGAGAGGAAGATCAACAGAACGTGGCTCCAGTGGGAGTCATGCCCATGGTAGATCGAAATCACGAAGTAAGAAGAATATCAAATGCTACAACTGTGGCAAAAGAGGGCACGTCAAATCGGAGTGTTGGCACAACAAGAAGAGTGGAGATAAAAAGTCTTCAGAGCCATCAACATCTCAAGGATGCGTTGTCAGCACGTCAGAGGATGGTGAAATTCTATTCAGTGGAGCAACCACTGTTGATGAAGGCAGAAAGAAGTTTGCTGATGTCTGGCTTCTAGATTCAGCAGCCTCTTGGCACATGACCTCTCGGAGAGATTGGTTTCACAAATATGAACCTATCTCAGGAGGATCTGTATTCATGGGGAATGATCATGCCTTGGAGATTTGTGGTATTGGTACTATCAAAATCAAAATGTTTGATGGTATAATACGCACCATTCAAGATGTGCGACATGTGAAGGGCTTGAAGAAGAATCTATTGTCTTTGGGACAATTAGATGAGCTCGGGTGCAAGACTCATATAGAAAATGGAGTCATGAAGATTGTTAGAGGGGCGCTTGTGGTAATAAAAGGAGAAAAGGTAGCTGCAAATCTGTACATGCTCAAGGGAGAGACTCTGCAGGAAGCTGATTCATGTGTGGCATCAACCAGCCGTGGAGAAGAACAAACCATGATGTGGCATCGCAAGCTAGGCCACATGTCAGAACGAGGCTTGAAGGTTCTCTCCGATCAGAAACTGCTTCCTGGACTTAATTCGGTAGCTCTTCCATTTTGCGAGCATTGTGTTACAAGCAAGCAGCATCGACTGAAGTTCAACACATCGAGTTCTAGAAGCAAGGCTATTCTGGAACTGGTTCATTCTGATGTATGGCAAGCACCAGTTACATCCTTAGGAGGAGCAAAGTACTTTGTGTCCTTTATTGATGATTACTCCAGGAGATGTTGGGTGTATCCTATCAAGAAGAAGGCGGATGTGTTCTCAGTCTTTAAAGCCTACAAAGCGCGGGTCGAGCTTGAATCTGAGAAGAAGATCAAGTGTTTGAGGTCAGATAATGGAGGAGAATACACAGACGGTGAATTCCTAGCATTCTGCAAGCATGAAGGCATCAAAAGACAATTCAGTACGGCTTATACTCCTCAACAAAATGGAGTGGCGGAGCGGATGAACAGAACTCTGTTGGAAAGAACAAGAGCTATGTTGGCTACTGCAAATCTGGAAAAAGTCTTTTGGGCGGAAGCAGTAAAAACCGCCTGTTATGTGGTGAATCGATCTCCATCAACTGCAATACAATTGAAGACGCCGATGGAGATGTGGACTGGCAAGCCAGCTGATTATTCCAACCTCCATATATTTGGATGTCCAGTGTACGTAATGTACAATGCCCAAGAAATTACAAAGCTGGATTCAAAATCCAGAAAATGCATATTCTTGGGGTATGCTGATGGAGTAAAGGGGTATCGCCTGTGGGATCTCACTGCCTGCAAGGTTATCATCAGCAGAGATGTTATCTTTGTAGAGAACCAACTACAAAGTAAAGAGAAAGAAAGCAGTTCGAGGAAGGACTCAGAGACTGTAGCTGTTCAGGTAGAAGATAATCCGAATTCTTCTGAAGCGACACCGGAGCATGATGTACAAGAACCAGTCGAGGCCGAGGCTCCAGAAGTTCGAAGGTCAACTCGTGAGAGAAGACCACCGACTTGGCACTCGGAGTATATTACGGAGAGTAATGTTGCATACTGTCTTCTAACAGAAGATGGAGAGCCATCAACTTTTCATGAAGCTATAAATGGCACAGATGCATCTTTGTGGATGGCAGCAATGCAGGAAGAAATTGAAGCTCTCCATAAGAACAAGACTTGGGAACTTGTGTCACTGCCACAAGGAAGAAAAACCATTGGAAACAAATGGGTCTACAAGATCAAGCGAAATGGCGATGATCAAGTGGAGCGGTATCGTGCTAGATTGGTGGTAAAAGGATATGCTCAGAAAGAAGGTATTGATTTTATGAAATATTTTCTCCTGTAGTTCGACTAACAACAATCCGAATTGTCCTGGCTATGAGCGCTATATTTGACTTACATCTAGAGCAGCTAGATGTGAAAACAACATTTCTTCATGGAGATCTTGAAGAAGAAATTTACATGCTCCAACCAGAAGGTTTTGAAGAAAAAGGAAAAGAAAACTTGGTTTGCAGATTGAACAAATCTCTGTACGGTCTAAAGCAGGCGCCGAGGTGTTGGTATAAGAGATTTGATTCATTCATCATGAGCCTTGGATACAACAGACTTAATTCAGACCCTTATGCATATTTCAAGAGGTTTGGTGAAAATAACTTTGTTATCTTATTGTTGTATGTTGACGACATGTTGGTTGCAGGCCCCAACAAAGATCGTATCCAAGAATTAAAGGCTCAGTTGGCTAGGGAATTTGAAATGAAGGATTTAGGATCTGCAAACAAGATTCTAGGGATGCAAATTTACCGAGACAGAATTAATAGGAAGATTTGGCTTTCTCAGAAGAACTATTTGAAGAAAATCTTGCGACGCTTTAACATGCAAGATTGTAAGTCAATTTCTACCCCACTTCCTGTTAATTTCAAGTTATCCTCCAGTATGAGTCCTAGCAGTGAAGAAGAGAGGATGGAGATGTCTCGAGTACCGTATGCATCAGCAGTATGCATCAGCAGTGGGAAGCTTAATGTTCGCGATGATTTGTACAAGACCAGACATTGCACAAGCAGTGGGAGTGGTTAGTCGATACATGGCGAATCCTGGTAAAGAGCATTGGAATGCTGTAAAGAGGGTTCTAAGATACATTCAAGGAACCTCAAATGTTGCATTATGTTATGGGGGATCTGATTTTATTGTCAGTGGATATGTTGATTCTGATTATGCAGGTGATCGTGATAATAGCAAATCCACCACAGGTTATGTGTTTGCACTTGCTGGCGGAGCTGTAAGCTGGGTTTCAAAACTGCAGTCAGTTGTGGCTACTTCAACAACAGAAGCAGAGTATGTAGCAGCTACACAAGCTAGTAAAGAAGCGATGTGGTTGAAGATGGTGCTGGAGGAACTCGGCTATGAACAAAAGAAGATATCTTTATTTTGTGACAGTCAGAGTGCTTTGCATTTGGCAAGAAATCCAGCCTTTCATTCAAAGACCAAGCACATACGAGTTCAGTATCACTTCGTTCGTGAGAAAGTGGAAGAAGGAACAGTGGATATGCAGAAAATTCACACCAAAGACAACCTAGCAGATTTTTTGACAAAAGCAGTCAGTACTGACAAATTCATTTGGTGTCGATCCTCTTGTGGTCTGTCAGAGACGTAAGCAACATAAAGATGGCAAGATAGAAAGAATGGTGTGAAGATTGATTGATACTCAATCAAATCTTCAAGTGGGAGATTGTCTGGCGCCTACCACACCGAAAGTCCAGCCGTCCACATGCTCCATTATCCAGCAGCCAATGTTGAAAAGGAAAAGAAAACAAAATGGTGGGGCCCACTGCTACAGTAAAATATTAATATTTTATTGTGCATAGTGTTTTTCTAAAAACTATAAATAGGCTCCAAATCCTTAAGGAAATCTCATCTCAGAAACTTCTTCTTATATAGAAGTGTGTGAGAGAAAAAATAGAGAGAGTATCTCCTTAGAAAGAGAGATTGTAACTCCAGAGTTTTCTCCTCATAGTGAATTCTTCTATCCTTGCCCGTGGACGTAGGCAATCAAGTGCCGAACCACGTAAATCTGTGTGTCCAACATTTTATCTCTACTTTTGCTTTTCTATTGCTGCGATCCTGCTCTATTGGGCCCCGGGTTTGTCCCAACAGAAACTGTTAGCATAAAACTTAAAAGTTTATGATGGTTCAGATTGTAATTTCTTGAAAATTTTGAGAAGAATAAGGAAAGTACAATAAATGATTGAGGAGTTCAATTCCTTATATTTTTATCAACTATGAGGAAGATACTAAATGAATGAAAAGTGTCTCATAAGATTAACCATTTTTGTTAGTTCTTGAAGTTTATTCCTCTTGAAATTCATTCTTAGATCCATCAACTTCAAAATTTCAGGACTTTTATTTATGTTACTGAATTTAAAATCTGTAAAATTTGACAAACTCTCATGGTTTATTAGAAAAATTACTACCATTAAACTTAAATATCTTGATAGCTTGGTTGCGACGTTGTAGTTTTATTGAAAATTTAAAGAATAGGAGGGAAGTGCATAAGCTCCGGTGGTTAATTGGTTACATATGTTAGATGAACCGAATTGTTAATCAAAATTTATGGTAGTTTTTGGAATATATAGAGTTTGATAGTTTCCTGGAAATGTAGTGACTGTTCATGATAATTATTTGAATTTATTCCTCTTACAACTATGTTTCTTTGAAAGCTTTAAACTTTCCATTCCTTTTCAGTATTGTGTTATTCAAATTTATTGATAAATTAGAAACTATCATGAACTTGTATTTCTTTTTAGAAAAATATTTTTAACTATATTTTCTCCAAATACTTACCATAAAACATAAAGCATATGTTAATTTAGGTTGTAGTTTCTTGAAAAACTGTAGAAGAGTAAGGAAAGTACAGTTAGTAGTTGAGGAGTTAACTTATTGCATGTTTATCAGTTATCATGGAAAAATGAATTTTTAGAAATGTATGGAATGAATGACGTGTTTGTGAAATAATTAGTGGAATTGGATGATAGTTTTTGAAATTTACTCCTCTCATCTTTGAAGGTGATTTATATCGATGTTATTGGAATTTGAAGTCTGTAAATTTATCAAACTATCATCACTTTTTTAGAATATTTCCTCCGTAAAACTTGATGTCTGTGATAATTTTGTTGTACTATTGCAGTTATTTGAAAATTTAGAGAAGAAAAGGAAAGTGCAATAACAAAACTGGAGGTTAATTTAATTACATGTTTATGATGAAGAAGAAGCTTATGTTTAATGGTAATGTATGTAATTTTCTGGAATATACCCAAAGTGGGCTGACCACTTCCTGGACCACGTGCATAGCTGGAGCTTCATGCACCGGGCTGCCCCTTTCCTGTACTGTAAGAAAACGCTCTCAAAGAATAGTGACAGTTCATAATAGTTTCTCGAAATTTGTTCATTTCACAATTATGTTTCTTTGAAAGCCATAAAACTTTCAATTCTTTTTTTTAGATTTGTGTTACCGAATTTTAGACTTCATAAATTATAAACTATCTTGAAATTGTATTTTTTTTTCTGACACCATTAACTTTATTTATTCCAATTTGTCGCCTTAAAAATAAACTTTGTAATAGTGAAGTGGTCATATTTTCGAAGTGTTTTAAAAGGTGAACTTAGTTCCATGTTTATCAGTTAGCACCAGAATAAAGGAGTTTTTAGACAAAATAAATGATAACTTTCTCAGAAGTTAATGAAATTGCATTAGTTTTTTGACATTTATCCCTCACTAACACAATTATGTTCCAGAGCTGAAGCAGAAGATTGTCGGGATGTTCAGTAACCCTGAGTCCGTAATCAAGTACCAAGTCTTTCCTGAAGACCTTGATGCCCTTGTCTCTGTCCGCTCCGATGAGGATCTCCACGCATATGATTGAGGAGTACGACCGCCATGAGAGCCTCTCCGGTTCTCACATCCTCCTCCTCCGCGATTCCGCATCTTCCTCTTCCCTCCCCCAACCTCCACCCCTCCTCCACATCTCCCACCTACATCGATGCCCCTCAATGCGGCTCCACCAGCACAAAGACAGCCTAAGCAGCTCCCATACCTAATCAAGCCTCCAATACTCTCTATCTTCTCCTCGTCTTCTGCTTGCTCGTCTCCTCCTGACTCCTCCCCCGTTAATGGGTTTGGACCCGCATTAGGACCTGGTCTGAGATCCAGTGGGCGTGGAATGCACCGGGTTCATAGCACTCCCAATCTCGGTGGAGGATCGTTGAGTCAGTTGGGGAATTCCAGTGGTGGTAACGTTGTATCCCCCAGAGGAGGAGGATGTTATCTTCAACATCTGCAGCATCAGCAGCAACAACAGCAGCAACAACAGCTTAATCACCAGCCACATCATCATCACATGGGGATGATGATGGGATATGGTGGCAATGCCGCTATGAGTCGGATGGGCGGGGCCCATCGGAATGAGGGTTGCGGATGTGGGTGTAATTGCGGGTGCGGATGTGGTAGCGGGTTTTCGGCTCACCAGAGTCAGAGGAGGTATTTCTATGCGCCCCCTGGTGGGTACATGCATGGGGAGGAATCTCCAACACCCAGGAGTTTGCAGAGCGGCGCCAATGCCAGTGGCTCC